TTGCTACCAGTATCTTAGGACAACTAGCCCTCTCTTAACTGCTCTCCACTGAGATCTCCATAGTTTTCAACATCAAGGCCTTTAGACAGAACTTCTCCAGGCTTTGTTCCAAGTAAAATCAGCCCCCTCAGACACAGCTCTCCTCTTTAAGACTTTCCTCTCCTCTTGGGCAGAACCTCTGTGCCACTGCACCGGGGTGGGGATGGGGACAGTGCAGTTAGATGTATGCATCTGATGTTCAGAAAGAACATCTGGGCTTGAGATATCAGTTTGGAAGTCATTAGTTTATCAATTTTTTTTAAAACTGTGAAATTGGATGAGATGACCCAAGGAGCCAGAGTCGAGAGAAGATAAAAGCAATCCAAGATTTAAGCCTTGGATCACGCCACCCTGTAGAGCTGAGCTAAGGCATTTAGCTCTGAATAGATGAGGAGTTCCTGCCTGAGACCAGGGCCAGGAAACACTTGGCTCTGTCAGACACAGGCTGGCTCCATCTGAAGCCACAGGGGACAGATTGAGTTTCGGTACCTTTTATGCCTTATCCTGTACCCGTATTACTTGGTTATAAACATGCTTTTTTCATCCATCAAGTCTAGCATATGCTGTTGTCTCAAGAATCCAACTGGCTCTGTGGGTAGGAGATGAGTGGAATCCTTTCCCATTCTGACTGTTTCCTACTTTGAAGCAGAATCAGGGCAGGCTGCTTTGACATTCATATTTGGTGTAGAAAGAGGTAACTCAGGTATGATTAAAAAATAAAAACCTGGGACAGAAATGCTGGCTTCACATTCAGCACTGCCAGGAGCTGAAGGTGTGACCTTGTGCAGGTTACTTAACTTCCTCAGGTGTCTGTTTCCTCTCCTTGAAAAGGAAGATATTGAGGTGCTGCCCTGTGGCCTAGCGGTTAAGTGCACGCGCTCGGCTTTGTCGACCCGGGGTTCGCAGGTTCGAATCCCAGGTGCACACCGTCGCACCGCTTGTCAAGCCATGCTGTGGCAGCATCCCATATAAAGTAGAGGAAGATGGGCATAGATGTTAGCCGAGGCCCAATCTTCCTCAGCAAAAAGAAGAGGATTGGTATCGGATATTAGCTCAGGGCTAATCTTCCTCACAAAAATAAAAATAAATAAATAAATAAAATGAAGATATTGATTGTATCTACCTTGCCATGCTTTTGTGTTCTGAGATTTAAATAATATAATGTAAGTACAGTAGCATGTAGTAGGTGCTTAATAAGTGTCAGCTTCTTTCCTTTATTGACCATAGGTCAGGGAAAAGGTATTTAAATCCACAAAATAATCCCTACATTTCCATTTTAGTTGTTCTTTCTCTATCAAACTGTCTTCCTTCCTATAGTAACATTGTTTTAAGAGATTTATTTTAATCAAGTATGGTAAGACACGCAGACATGGAAATGACTGTCATAAAGGAAGAAGTTTGTACTCATATTTCCCTAGAAACAGGAGACATGGCATGCCTCACAGGCCACTTGGGGAGGTGCTGGGGTCAGTCAGGAGGCAGAGGGAGTGAGAGAAACACGGGCAAGAGCCTTTATTGTGGTTTTCATAGGGAAGAATGGGCGAGGCAGGGTAAGCAGGCTTAGGATTGGCTAGTTTGAAAAATTTTAGGGAGCGCCAGAGAATGGGGGCTGTCCCTAGTTGTCTGATACCTGGCCCTGGGGTGGTTAGGGCAAGGGAATCATGACCCAGAGTGTATGAGCTGGATAAAGGAGGCGGTGGGTGTATGGAGTTTGAATTGGTTGGTGTACCTGTGAAGGGAAAGATCCAAGTTTCTTTGTTATCTCTAAGAATTGGCTAGCTCAAACAGGGATAGTCCCTCCAGGGTGAGCATGGCCCCAAGATAGAGCATAAAAAATATAGAAAATAAAAAGTCATTAATGATTAATACACACATTCTGTTTTGTTTATGATTGTGCATATGTACTGGACCGAGAAAAATAGACCTCACATTGGATTAAGCAAAATCATGGAACTGGAAATGAACCATAGACAATCCATAACCGCTAAACTTATCCTTTAGGTGATTAAAAACTCTTTATACTCTGGCTATCAAAGCCAGTAAAAGCAAAAAACAAAAAACAAAATCCATATTTGGATTTAGGCATAGAAGTAGAATTCCAGAGTTGGAAGAAACCTTAAGAATTAGTTCATTCCTTCCCTCCCCCCCCTACCTGTTTCTTAAATCTCCTCTTCTTCATTCCTGTTAAGTAGTGTCTTATTCTTTCTTTAGATTTTTCTGATTGTAAAAAAAGTCTTCTCTTCATGGGACTAAAATCTGCTTCATTTTGGCCTTGGCTTTTTAATTGCTGAAAGCCTGTCTTTCTTTACAAATACAAAAAACACTCAGCCCAGCTCCTAGCATAGCTGCCAGATCAGATAAAATGTGTATAATGGGTTTACAGAAATGCTGTTACCACTATGATGAAGAGCCACTTGTATTTCTCACACCTCTTGGACATCTAAAGATGTCACTTGTGAGAACGTGTTTTCTGTCTGTCTTTCTCTGAGCTGGGGCAGGATTGCCTCCACTGCAGGGCACCACAGAATGTGGCTAATAGCCACCACTATGGAAAAATGGCCTTCCTGTGCACTCAAGGCTTTCTGCGGAATAAATAGTACCTTGAGTAGGACATCTGTATTATAAACTGGACTGTGTGCTTTGGGATGGATAGTGATGTGTCTAGTTTAATGCTGAACCCCTAGGGCCTAGCTCAGTGCTGGAAAAATCACATGCACGCATTAATCTTCATTGAATGAATGAGAGAATGCGTGGAAATGAGTACAAATTGCTAATCAGAAGCATTTGTGAAGAATTCACTTTAGCTGAATAAATAAGACATAAGAAAAAAAGGTTTGGATTGCTATTAGAATAAAAAAACAATCCTCCAAGGGGCCAAGGTTAGGCACTGAAATCATTGATGTTGTTATAAGAAAGTAGTATTTTGGATTATGTTTCCCGAACCCTCTCACCTGTTGAGCAAGGGGCCAACATAGAAGGGCTCTTGTGTAGCTTCAAAGAAAGAACGAGCATCAGGAACTTAGCACAGAGCCCACGGTGAGCTGTCAAAGCACCACGCTTTCTCTCAATGCTTGTGTAAGCAGCTTCAACTTTTAAATTAACAAATGTAATAAAATGTTATAAATTCCTTGGCTTCAAGAGGAAGTCTTTCAGGAACTAGTAAAATAAAAAGTGATCTATTTTGAAATGGGGCAAACGGAGTGGGTGCTGGTTGTTGGGTCACAGAGGAAATAGAATCCAGGTATGTAGCTAGTGACCGTCAGTGGGCATCACCCCACATTTGTCACTGTACTACGGCGTACAGCTCAACAAAGCTGTTTGGTCCAAATTGACTGTGGAGAAAAGGCCAGGGGCCTGTAGCAGATATTGGAATCCACCCTGGGCTGAGATCCACCCAGTTATCTCTTCTAGCTTCTGAGCTCGAGTTTCACGGAAATAAGAATTTGTGGTAACTTGGGTTTGGCTTCAGATAGAAGCTCAACATGTTCACGAGGAGGCGAGAGAGACAAGTTGGTCAAGAGAGACACTGGAGAAGAATAGAGGCAGAGCCCACAGAAATTATGCAAAATATTGAATGCATTCAAAAGCTTATTTGCTCAATAATTTAATAAATACTGAACAAACTTTTTGTTTTTGGCACTTTGCCAAGTGTGGAGTATGTAAGGCAACTTGTCCCACTTGTGTTTTAACTTTGCTCTTAGAGAAAATAAGAGATGTCTACTTCCTTAATACTTTAATGCAAACTCCTTAAAATGTGTTTTGTTGGGTATTAATATACATATTTTGTGAGAGGGAAAAAGAGGGTTAAATAAGTTTGGAAAATATTAGAAAAGTTAACACATTTATTTGCTGCAGAACTCCTCCAGAGCCTTTAATATATATTCTGCATGACAGCTTTCTAAGAAAAGGGTGTAGCAGGCAGGGCTTCTGAAACTCATTTGACTGCAGAATGCTTTATTTCCATGAGCTGCTTGTAGAGCTGGTGTATTGTAGAGCGTGCCTCAGGAATGCTGCTTTCAAGTGTTAATAGTCCCATTCAGGGGACACACAGTGATGTCTGACTGTGTGCTATTCAGTTAGCTGACCGTCCCAGTGTGGCTTGGTTCGAGGTCCTCCCTGACTGACGCTTATGCAGGGAGCTCCTGGGCTACCCATTTCCTAACAGCCTATTTCCTGGTGTGGCCTAGTTCCACAGTGCTGCCCCCTTCAGGGCATTTGCTTTTTAGAATTTGTTGCAGATGTGTGGGAGATGAGCCCTCATTGACAAAACCACAAGAAAAAGGCTGAATGTGTATGTGTAAGTTTGTGTTAAACTTTGATGCTGACATGCTGGGCCCTGGATCTTGTGTCATGTAACTGTGTAGGAAGTCGTGGAATAGGAAGGTTGATGTGGTGAGATGGAGCACTGTACCAGGAGTCAGAACCTAGCTGGATCCACATCTCAACTGCCAGTTTGTAGCTTCAGGAATTTGAGGATATCATTTTAATATCCGTGGGCCTCAGTTTCCTCTGCAGTAGAAGACGAATGACATACATGTAACACGTGAACCTCTCCCACCCCCTCTACACTCAGGGCAGACATTGCTAAGTGATTGATCTTCCCCCTAAATACAGAGATAGCCTCAGATACCTTTACCACACCATGTTCCCACCAATCCCTCAGAACTAAGAGGCACGATAAAACACGCTGTGATCCCCAGACTTGATGAACAATAAGAATCTAGGATCTCGGATTATTGCTATCACAACATACACTTCATGGGAAGAGCAAAGTGTCGAGGAGAGGTGAGTGCCCCTGAGTAGTGAGGGAGTGCTGTGGGAAAGAGCGGTGGGCGTAAGGCTGGTGTGCTCCCCCTGCCCAGTGGCCTTTGGAGAAGGTCCACTTGGATCATGTGACTAATTCACAATTTGGGCAATTAGGGAATGACTTATAAACAAAATGGATATCGGTTATTCTAAAGGAGTTGGGGGAGGGAGGCTTGGAACCTAGGGGGCAGACCCCAAGCTATGGGACTGCCCCCATCACTTCATCCCTGCACGTGGACACCTATGTGAGGAGGGTTGAGGCAGGCCTCAGCGAGTCCACCTTCACAGCGCTGGCTGGTGAGCATGTCGGGCTTGGGAGGTGTATGTGGCATCCTGCAGATGAGTTTCTTTTCACCATTTCAAACATCAATTAATAAGAAAAGTAAGTCTCTCCAGTCTTGGATGACCTTTCCAGAGGACTCCACAGCTGTGACAGAGAGCTGAGATGGTATGAACATCCTGTTAATAACCAACATCTGAGTGAAGTGCAAATTGCTTTACACTTATGTGGGATTAGCCTCCAAGCTCCTGTATGAGGAGGATCTGACAGTAGCTGCAACTTAGAGTGACCTGCAATCCAACACCTTCCCACTCCCAGGCCTGGCAGGCAGGCATGAATTTGTGAGGCAGTTTCTGATTGCTTGATATTTATGTGCCAGCTTACAGCTGGAGTGGGGGGTGGAAGGCAGCTGATTTAGGATTCAAAAACCCCATTTATGTTATAGAATCTCCTTATGTCCTCTCAGCTAGAAGCCTCCAGATTTCTCCTGAGCCATTCTAAAGGGGCTCTAGCTAAGTGGAGAAACTTGAAAAGCAAAATATAAAAGGAGGGGGAAGAGAAAGTTTGAAGATAGCAAAAGGCATACTGGACACTCAAGAGTCACCCTGAAAAGCCTTCTCAGGGTCTGTCATCCAGCTGAGGGTGTTAAAGATTGTTTTCCTCTCAAAGGGCATTTGGAGTATTGAGTGTTAGGAAGGGCCCTGCTTGAAAGCACTGTGGTCAGAGGGTCCCTGAATAGATTTGTCCTCTTCAAGAGAGATGCTGTGTCCCAGGAGAAAGCTTTCAGGGAAATCCCAAGTGGTTCCATCACTTAATAGCTGAGTGACCTTGGGCAAGTTAACCTCTTTGACCCCAAGTTTCCTTATGTGTAAAATAGTGATAGTGGTAATATGTGGTTTTGGGGATTATTAAGTGGGATAATGTATGTGAAGTAGTTAGAACAATGCCTGATGCATATTAAGTGCTCAGTAAATGTTCCTTATGATCCATTACTGAACACACTGGGGAATAGGATATTGTGGCTAAGAGGAAGTTACCACATGAGTCGCATATGGATTACTAGTTTTCAAACTCCTAAAAGACCATATAATCCATTCATCATGATCCACCAGACTGGACACAATTTTGCTTACTCTTGGGATTCAGAAGGCTCTTCCAAGTTTTGCATTATTTTAGGCCATTTTTAAGAGCATTGCTGAACCAGTCAAGGTTCCAGCAGAAAAAGATATGTTGGTGACACACTTAGAGATGTGTGGGCAAAGTTAAAGGAATCAGCAAGAGATGCTGAGATGCTCTGGGACTGGCAATAGTGGGAAGCCACCACTAAGCTTGATGAGCAGGCAGAGGTGGCAGTGTTACTGGAACCCAGTGAGAGCTGGAGCCCTGCAGGAAGGGCTACTAGGAGGAGACTGTAGTGGGAGGGGCATAGTCACTGCCGAAATTGCAACATGAGGAAGAGAGCAGACAAGAAAAACACACCAATCTCTCTTTCCTCCCACTTTCTGATCTCCTACTGGTGCCTCCCATTGGCTGAAGGAGGCAAGCTGGCAAAGAAACCTTAAGGAAGCAGTCCATGCAGGCCAGTCTCCTGGGACACAGAGGCAAGCAGAAAGCTCTGGGGGATGCAAAGGAGAATAACCACCACATTCACTAACTCTTGTTTCACAAATCGGGAGTGTGCCAGTTAATGGAGTGCTCTGTTGGATAAGACATCAAATAAACCAGCCCATAATGCAGTTATTTCATTCAGTCTTCATACCCTATAGCAAGATGAGCAGTAGTCAAAATGGCAGCTTCCAAGGTAGCAGAAACGTACCAAGACACAAAGTCTGATCCACAGGTTGGGGTGTGGTACTCGGAGTAGATCACACAATACCTTCTGTTTCTTGGTCTCCATGAACCTTATTGCTGAGTCATAGCAGTTCGTAATATAATTTTACTGGTTCTCAAACTTAACTGTGCATCATTAAGATTTTCAAACTATTGGGTAGATTTGTATATCACTGGTGTTCTAGTACATTCAGGCTGCTATAACAAAATACCATAGACTAGTTGGCTTATATACAACAGAAATTTATTTCTCTCAGTTCTGGAGGCTGGAAGTCCAAGATCAAGGCATCAGCAGATTTAGTGTCTTGTGAGAGCCTGCTTCCTGGTTCCTAGACAGAGGTCTTCTTGCTGTGTCCTCACATGGCAGAGGGGCAAGAGAGCTCTCTGGAGCCTCTTCTATAAGGGTACTAATCCCATTCATAAGGGCTCCACTCTCATGACCTGATCACCTCTCAGAGGTCCCCACCTCCAAATGCCATCACATTGGGGCTTATGTTTCAACATGTGAATGTTGAGGTGACACAAACATTCAGTCCATAGCACCTGGGTAGATATTGAAACTACTGATATCTAGGTTCCACCCCCCCGGAGAGTCTAATTTAATGGATCTAGAGATCCCCAGGTGATTTCAATGTGCAGCAAAGTTTGCAAACTACTGCTGTATACTAGAATCCCCTGGGAATATGCAGGCCCATTAAACCAGTATTTCATTAATCTCCAGGGAGATGTTGCTGACACAGGCTAGAACAGAATGTCCAATATGGTAGCCACTAGACATACGTGGCTATTTAAATTTAAATTTAAGATAATTAAATTTAAATAAAACTTAAAATTTAACTCCTCTGTCCCACCATCCACATTTCAAGAGCTCAATAGCCACATCTCGCAGATAGCTATCATTTTGGACAGTGCAGATATAAAATATTTCTGTGATCATGGAAAATTCTATTGTATAGCACTGGGATAGTGACAGGATCCCCAAGCTGAGTAGGCTGGGGCTCAAGGCAATGAGACATGGAGCAGAAATCAGGAAACTAAGCCAGACAAACTAAGCACTCTTGTTAGGGAAGAGAGACAGCTGTGGAGGACACAGAAGAGTTTGACAGAGGAAAACACATTTGAGACCCCTGCCAATATGCTGATCCAGTCAGGATTGGCTCAGGCTCTGTGTGGATGGAGCCAGCAGCCTAGAGGGGCTGAGGAGGGCAACAAAAGAAGAGGTGGACCCAGGACCCATCGTTGTGGTACTTGAGACCTCTCTGAAGGGGCCTGCAAGGTGATGCTCACTTCATTTACTTGTGAACCACACTCTTGGGCAAATGATGTGACTCTACTGTACACTTTGAATAGCACAAGCCTGGGGCTATGTCTAGTGGTGAAAGGACTATCTAGCTCTAGGTTCTCTAGCAGGTTCCTCCCCAGGGCTCCATAAACAGAACCCAGCCGGCACAAGAGGCCCTGTTACTTAAGAGCCAGGTTAAGTGCATAGCAAGGAGATAAAGGGAGGGTTCAATGGATCAATAGTGAGAGAGAGAGAGACTTTTGTGATCCTGGATCGCTTATTTAGTTCAATGTAGAGCATTTGATGATTTTACCACGTGGTGGGTGAAGAGTGCCTTTTCAGGGATAAATCTTGAAGAGGTACCAGGCTGAATGTTTCTTGAGAGAGGCAGAATGGTGTATTAGTATCCTAGGACTGCTGTAAGAAAGGACCACAGACTGGGTGGCTTAGCCAACAGAAATTTATTGTCTCACAGTTCTGGAGACTAGAAGTCCAAGATCAAGGTGTTGCCAGGTTTTGTTCCTTCTGAGGGTACTAGGGAGAATCTGTTCCATGCTCTCTCCTGGCTTCTGGTGGTTTGCTGGAAGTCTTTGGTGTTCCATGGGTTGTAAGTGCATCATTCCAGTCTCTTCCTTCATGTCCAAAGGGCGTCTCCCTGTGTCTGTGTCCAAATTTCTCCCTTTTATGAGACATCAATCATATCAGATCAGGGGTCTGCCCTACTCTTGTATGACCTCATCCTAACTTCTAACTTCTGTAACAACTGCATTTCCAAATAAGGTCACATTCTGAAGTACTGGGGATTAGGACCTCGACATATAAACTTTGAGGGGCGTAATTCAACCCAGAACTAATGGTATAGTAGGAAGAGCGTATATTTTGGAGTTGGACAGACTAGTTTGAGCCTTACTTTTGCGACTGCTTTTCTGATGCAGTTTTATTTTATCTTCTGCAAAAGAAGAATGATATATTTAATAGAATCATTGGTAAAATGATAAATCAGTGGTAAAATGAAGCACTATTTTATGTATCACCATTAAGAAAAAAATACTTCCAATTAAACAATGGCATATCATCAATTGTAACATGCAACCCAATTTTAAATATGTGAAGTTGTGAAATAAAGGTATGTTTTAAAGTCAATGAAGGTAAGGACAGAAGATAACATGTGAAGTGCTTTCTATGGGAAAGTAAGAAGGTGTACAATAAAGGTGTATCATTTTTTCTCTTATCCCTTCCTTTGAGCAGAAAAGATACAATTACCATTGGTCACTACCTAACTTGCCATCTATTTCAAGAAGGAATTAAATAATTTATTAGGAAGGAGTCAAAATGAATTCCTAAGGAGGTGGCTTCTGTGAAGTGTGTTATTGCCATCACAAAACTTTTATGATTGCTTCAAATAGGGGGTGTCTGCTGGAGTTTCTCTCTGGGAGGTCCCATTCTTTATTCCTATCTTGGCCAATAAGACCATTCCTGTGGATTTTTCTAAGAACCAGTGAGCCCTTGGAGAAGTTTCTCTATTTGTTTAGTTGGGGTTGAAGGTGGGTTGGACTAATAGGGGACTTTGGGAAGTGTGCAGTTCTGTGTTGATCAAGACTAACCTCCACATTGCAGGGTATTTAGCATCCTGTGATGTCACTCCATCATTGTGACAAGCCCAAATGCCCCCACAAATTTCCACGTGCCCCCTGGGAAAGTGAGTATTGCCCCCACTGAGAACCACTAAGCTAGACGAATGTGGCAAGGTGCAAAGTCAGCTTCAGCTCAGGATTTTATGATAAGTTAAGGAGAAGTAAAGATTGACAAACACTCGGGCATATTTTCAGTCTTAGGAACCGGTGAGTAGGAACCCACAGTCCATGTGGCAGGTCGGCCAGACAACCAGAAATGATGCAACCTCAG